AATTGAATCCCATGCCCAGCTTGAGGGTGGGGCCTGATTGGTTAAATTATTCAGTGACTCTCATTCCCTGGCTACAGCAATTGGTTCAGGAGTGGTCATGTGCCTTAATACAAGTCAAACGAGAGAGAGTAAATCCTAGAACATGGGTAAGATCTACTGGATAGGACTACTCTTTTTCTGGATGCTGATATGTAAGAAGGTGAAGTCTGGAACAGTGACAATTATTGTGCTACTTCAAGGGAAGAGTATGGAGCTCTGGGGCCTACCTTGTGAAACCTAAGAATGAAGCCAATACCACAGAATGCACAATAATGAGACTGGAAGAAAGTGGATCTTCAGTGACATCATTTGAGTCCTGGATCAAGCCTCACATGAAGCTAGTATACATCTCAACTTTTCAGTTATGTGAGCCAAAGATTCTTTGTATTGTTTAATCTGGTTTGAGTTTTCTGTCACTTGCACTTCCCATTAGCACATATGACAGTGTTGAGTCCCCAGGAGGCCAATGAGTACTTGTGATCTTAAGAGGCTCAACGAATGGATACCTTTTGATTTACTTTTGAATTACAACCCTCAGTGTATACAGACACTGTGCTCTGTCCAAAGGCAATTTTGTTTCTACTGTCAAACAAAAGTTTCCAGTGAGTTGTTCATTGATATTAAAGAAAGAAGAGTAAAACCAAGAGATTTACAGAAGGAAACACATTTGTATTCAGATCCTCTTCTACTCCCTGAAGTGTTCTTTTGTATTTGTTATGGTTTTTCAACCCCAGTGATGAAGTCAGCCCTGGCTCCTTTTTTCCAGTAAATGTATTCAGCGGCCAATGTTTGGGCAGTGATTCTTAAATTTTAGGTGTACAAAACTCACTTAGGGAGCTTATTAAAATACAGATTTCTGTGACATGCTCCAGGAGATTCAGATTCAGTAAGTCTTAAGTAGGGCCCAGGAATCAACAGTTTTAACATTTTTCATAAGCTCCCAGATGACATATATGCAGCTGTCTCTTTGAGAAACACCATTGTCTTAGGCTGAGTTCCCCCAAAGCAGATCCTGATAAGGAGATTCATGAGTAAATGATTTATTAAGGAAGTACTCCCAGGAGAAACCTGTTAGGGAATGAGAGAGGTAGGAAAGAGAAGGGGAGGGAGCTAGGCAAAATCCTGCGGAGGGTAGCTGCAGCCTGATAGGGAAGCTCAGGTTGTAAGTAATCCCTCAGAGTTGTCCATTCTCTCCTGGGGCAAGGAGCTGGACTTTCACATTCCTGCACTAACAGCCAGATCAGGGAGACTTAAATTCCCAGGCACTTCCATATAGGCAAAATGATTTCTATAGCTTGTGAGAAGTTCTCTGAAGTCACAAGCATGGGTGGGCTTTGGAAGCAAAAACATGGTGAAGCTAAGAGAGGGGCAGAGAAAAGTAAAAAGACTAGGAGGGGATTCAAGTGGAGCACCTATAATGTCTGCTCAAACCATCTAAGGGATTTCATATTTAATACAAGAGTGTCTGCATTTTAAAAGTAACTAAGGGAGAGGATAGTGTGCACCAAGTACAAAGGGGAGTTTCTTAAAAGTAGAATTCTGTTCATGATGGAGATTTGGGGGTCTCAGTCTACACATAAGACTAGTGCCACTGAAATCTGCAGTCTTTTAATGAGTGAACTCTTTAAAATGGCATTTGGTGCCTCTTGCTATCCAGCCCTTGCCTATTTCTCTAACCCCCTCTGCCCTCTTTCTTCCTATATTCTATGATCCAGCTGTGACCCACTTCTCCAGAAGAGCACATTCTTCTTCCCAAAAAAGCATATTATTGCTCACCTTCAGGACTTCATAAATGCTGTTTTCTCTACCTAGGATCAACTGGTCCCCATTCCTTTCATTTTGGTTAATTTCTATACTTTTTTTCTATCTCAAACATTTCTTCAGTTGGGCCTTCCCTGACCCATAGGTCCCCTTGCTATTTGCTCCCCATACTTGCCACTTCCTTATTACCATCACTTTTCATCATAATTATTTGCTTGATACTTGTTTTCTTCTAGAACAAAACTTGAAGAGGACAGAGACCATGTCTGCTTTGTTTGTAGCTAGAGCCTCAGTAGTTACCATAGAGATTCACTGAATGAACATAAAATAAATGATTTGCAACATGAGATTGGATATATCCTGTACATGTAGTTTTTTTCTGGAGAACTTAATGGTGTCTTTTATTTGAGGTTAGACACCTGCTTACACCACCAGGCAATAACTTTATTCCAATTTAAGACAGTGTCATTTTTAATTTAATTCAGTGATTCAGTAACATTTATATGCTTAAGCAATCATAGGAGGCTAAGCCCTGAATTGCCTAAATTAACCCCATGCCATGCTGATCTCTGTGTTGTATTCATGTTAATATTTCTCTAAAGTATTTGCCCCTTTGATATCTGTGTCATTTTTAAATTAGGTGGGAGCCCAACAACCTGAGAATGTCTAATGCAATTGTGAGGAAATCCAACGCCTCCAAGTCATCGAAGATTTTCACTGACATCTGAGAATCAAATTTGTTTAGCACCAACCCCATCATTGTGGGTTTTTAAATGGTTCTGAAATTTTTAAAGGCCTGTCAGTTATATACTCACAGTATATCTACATTTTGATGAAGATATAGAATTATTTCATTGATAATTTTCCTAGTATTGGAAATACTGTTGATTGGCTGCCAAAGCCTATTCTTCACCTGCTTCTACCTTGCTTACTACTATCAAAGACGAGGCAAGAAGTCAGATACCAGAGTTTCCAGCTTCCCTTGCAGATGAGGGTTGCTATGTGACTCTGTCCTGGCTATTGAGATGAGAAAAGGATAAATGGTTTTTTCCTAATAAGAAATGAGAGAGAGGGCAAAACAGTCTTGCTTACTCTTGCTGCCTTCCTAATTCTTGCTTTTAAATGCAGTTTGATGTTAGAAATTATGGCAGCCATCTTGTGATGATGAAACAACAATCCTGAGAATGAGAAGTTAATGTATCAAGGATGGCAGAGTGGAAAGAAAGATCTGAGGTAACTGATGACACTTTTGTGTAGCTGATCCAGTGTTATTAACCACCCACCTCTCAACTCCTTGCTCTATATGAAAGATAAGCACCCTCCTCCTATTTTTTTAAACCACTGTTATTGATTATTAAGTTATTAACACCTGAACACAATCTGATGCACCTGGACCTTCAACATTTTCTTCGTGGAAATGAAAACATAACTAAATTAATTATTGACATCCGATCATTTATACTTGTGCTTACTTGTTGGTGGAGTATTGGACTTCTGGAAGAAACCCAGAGAGTAATTCATTTCATTTAAAAGGCTTGGACATTTTGATTGCAGAAACAGAGAGGGGCCACATCCAGCCATAATGCATGGTACAAGTTCTGAGGGATTTGTATTCCAGATAACCTCTGTATGACTAAATACCACACTGGGAGCTGGGAGATTTAGGTTCAGATTAGATGCTCAGCTAAATATGTGACCATGACATGCAGTTGTCTCTGAATCGTTTTCTCATCTGTTGTACCATTTGTAGGATGCTTTCTTTGAAAGCAACAGGAAACTCAACTCAAAATGGCTTAAACAATAAAGGAATTCATTTTCTTACATGACCAGAAAGTGTAGAAAGTTCGCTAAGAGATTGATGTCATTGAGGACATCTCTACCCGGATGCCCCTCAGTTCCACCTTCATCTTAGGTCTGACTACCTTCATGGGTACAAGATGTCAGATGTCCACAATTGAGGCTGCATACCTCTTTACTCAAGAAGGAGGTGGGGACAGTGTTTCCCATCCATAAGGGGAAAAAATACTGAGCTTTCTGCTGACTGGAATACTTTGAACCATTCAAGCCTAGTGACCAGGGAATGCCAATAGCTGATTAAGTTAGGCCAATCATTGTGGCAAGGGGGCTGCATTTATTAGTTTAATGAATCAGGGCCCAAGCTCTCCAGGTGAGATGGTAACAATCCTATCTCAAACCCTGAGCTTCTACATCATGGTGGTGGAATGGCTTCTGGGAGAGCAACCATCACATCCCTCATATCTGTAAATTACTAAACTGAACTGGCTAACCTTTAAGGCTCTTTCCAGATCTAAACAGGGTGTGATTCCATGAGCAGAGTGCAAACCTATCTCTGTCATCTTTTTTATTCAACTCCACTTTCTTTTTTTTTTTTTTTATAATTGTCCTTTTCTACCTCTGAACATAGGCCCCTGGGGGTTATTTGGAAAATAACCCCAAAATGAAGTCAACAAGCCTCGGCACAGCTCAGACTTTGGCTGGGGAGAGGAAGTGAAGCTGACAGGGTGACTTGTGAGGGTCATTGTGCACTTCATGGCAGAATGACGCCTTATTCATTAGGCACCAGGTAGACATGCCAGTTTGGGGTGAGTAACTTGAAAATGTGGGACTCTAAGTGGAGGCAGTGTTTCTCAGGCTCTAAAGCTCCCTTTCCTAGAGAATGCACAAGCTCTTTGAAAAAGGAGGAAAACCTCCTCATACAATTATATTTTCTCTCTGATTTGCATTTTTTAAAAACAGGTTTGGTACTCAAATTCTTAACACTGACAAATCACTCAGCCTCTTGAGGGAGCGGTCACGGGTTTGCACAGAACCTTTCAGAATAAAAAATAGGCCGTGAGTCTCCACCCACCCCCACACACTTTGGTAAATACTATCTTTTTTCTTTCTTTCTTTTTATTACCGCACTGAGAAATTTACCAGATGATTTCTGGAGGCCGACTTATGAACTAATTGGGCACTTCAGCTGCGCAAAGGAACAAAGACTTTTTTTATTGGTCCTCAACTGAGGCATATACCTGCCTGATGGTGTTGGCTCATTCCGCACATGCTCAGTCGAACAGAAATCTTCATATTGAATACAACCTAACACAGCGGCAACACCCAAAACCTCACTCCCTGGCTGACCCCGTGCATCCTCTCTCTCTAGTTGCATTTTTATCCTGAATCGTCTAACATTTATAGGGAGTAAAGGGAGCAGAGCAGGTCCTGGGGGCTCGGGGTGGGGGTGGGGGAATAAATAAAGGGGCTTAAAGTCTCTTTATGTGCCTGCCTTCCTGACCTCTCTCTAGGCTGTATCTAGCGG